TATCGAGAAATGTGGTTTCAATACTTGAAATCTTTGTGATAACCTTAAAATATGTTTTCATCTTTATTAATAAAGTTTAAAGCTTCAAAAATGGTATAAATCGAAAGATTTATGAAAACTTGAAAATTGATGGTAAAAAAATGTGTTACAAAATACTCTACTTCCAAACCTTGAAATCTATTTTTTTTTTCATTTTTATGCATCTGGATGTCAAGATGATCAATTTGAAGATATTTGGGTATCAAAACAACGTCTTCTAGTGAAATTTTGGAGGTGGGCTTTAATTTGATTGTTTAGAGCCTCGGCTATATAAGCTCTTACTTTTCCTCTCTCTAAAATATGAGGTTGTGGCTCTATAAGCATTTACTTTTCCTCTCTCTAACTGGTTTGTCTTTCTTGAAATTGTTGGGGCCGTTTGAAGGAGCGAGAGCTTTAGAGTTTAGACTTTTGCTAGACTCGAATTCAATTTTTAGTCCCCTTGTTTTGGAGGTTTCTATATCTGTTGAAGTGAATCCCCCCTCTCTCTCTCTAGATTGGATTTCCTTGAATTAAACGTCCTCCTCCCCTCTCTCTCTCTAGATTGGATTTCCTTGAATTAAACGTCCTCCTCCCCTCTCTCTCTCTAGATTCAATTTCCTTAAATCAGTCTCCTTTTTCTCGCTCTTTCGAGAGGCTTCAGGATAAAAGCTCTCTCTCTTTAGTCTCTGAATGTTGCGGAGATCTAGAGGGTTTCATAAGACTCCGGTCTTTGTGAATTGATATCCCATTCTCTCTCTCTAACGATTTACGGCATTTGGGAAAGGTCTTTAAAGGTTTTACGAAGTCGAAGATTCAGTTTCAGGCGGTTGATCTCTCTCTCTATAACTTTGTGTTTCAGTTATTTAGCATGAATGAAAATGAACTGTGTGTGTATGTTCCATGCATTTAGCATGAATTAGAATGAACTCTCTCCCTCTCTATCTCCCTGTGTCTCTCTCTTTCTCTCTATCTTCATGTGTTTGTTTCAGGCATTCAGCATGTATTAGAATTGACTCTTTTTTTTACAAGAATGAATTAGAATTAACTCTCACTCTCTCGAGGAGTATTAAGAAATTTTAGATGGTTCAGTTTCTGTTAATTCTGCCTTCTCGTTCAAATCAGCTCTTATTGATATTCGATGTCCTTTCTGCTGCCCTTATTTGTACTCTCTTAAAGTCTCTCTCTCTAAAAACCTCTCTCTTTTGATCTCTTTCATCTTTCATTTTCTGGTCAAAATAACCTCTCTCTCTCTCTATATATATATATATTCGTTCTTGTATCTCTGAACTGTTATGAACATTTGCATATAATTTTTGAACTTTTTTTTATTGTTCCATTTCCACTGAATTGATTCTCTAGGTTGAATCAAATTCTTGTTGAATTTTAATGTTGGATATATAGTTTGCTGGATCTGCAACTTTGGTACACTTCACAAATATTCCCTCATCTCTGAGTTCTGTCTATTTTTTTTTTTTTGAAGCGTTGTTCCCAAAATCTTTTATTTCTAGTTTTTGTCTCTGATGTGAAATTGTGTACAAATTTGCTTATTTTTTCCTGTTACAGAATGACGAGTTGATCTCAAGATCACGTTTTAAGTGAATTATGATATTTTTTGAGAAATTTCTTGAATAACCAATCTAGTTATGTTGAGTTTGATCAGAAAGAACATTATGTTTTTTTTGCATTTTTTATTTATTAACAACAAATTTTCCATTCAAACTTGGCATTATTTTCTGGTTTCTGGAGAGATTTTTTTTTTACCTTGACCTTATAGCCTTGAATTGCTTTGCTTTTTAATTTTTATAAAGAGGTTTTATCTTTCCTTTTTTCTTTGTACCTAGTTTTGGTTGGTAGGAAGTGCTTCTTATTTTTCTCGTTTTGATATTTCATGGTTATCATTTTTCTATAGTCGCTTTCTTCTTTGATGATCATCTTATTGCATGGCCTTCCTTAATTTTAGCTAATCATTAGGGCTCTTTATCTGCTCTTGTGCTAAAATATCTACTTTTTTGTTCTCTAATTTTATAATACTGAATCTGTTAAATTTGGTCTACATCTGTTAAGTTTTATCTTCTTTAGGTTTTTTATTGTTTTCTTATCCTTTTTCCTTTTGTTACATCTGATATTATCTTGGATTTGTATGTTGTTCTAGCCCAAATATGCATTTACATGAATATGAACATAATTAGCAAAGGTTGTAAAATTTTCCCAGACTGCTTTAATTGCAGCAGACTACATTCTCCAAATTTAGCCATTGTTTTTTTGTTTGAGTCTGAGTAATTATTGTTTTTTGTTCAATTCTGAGATATGTTTTATTAATATTTGTCCTTTTGTTTTATTTTTTTTGTTTCAAAAAACAAAGGTTTCATTGTCCTTTTTTTTGGTTTCCCAATTGAAGTTATGCCCCTTTGTGGATTTAGGGCTTCCTTTTCCATTATGTTTTCTTTTCCTTGTTCTCCTGAAGATAATTTTTTTCATGAATCCTACTTCTTAATTTTGATTTTGCTTTCTGCTTTCTTGAGTATTTTTTTAATTTCTGATTATTCTTTAATTTTGAATTCTGCTCCTTTTTGTTTTCTGGTAATTATCTTAATGGTTTGATTTTGGTCATCCATGTGTCAAATATTAATTTGGTTGTGTTATTGTTATAAAATTGGTTTCAAGATTGTAAGTGATATGCTCATGCGATTACCATATTGACCATGATGTATATAATGCTGCGTTGTCGAGATTTCAGTGCCAACTTAATGTTTTTAAAGTGGATTTCAAGTGTTTGGTATATGAGTGGAGCTGATAACTCTTTGTCATGGTTTTTGCCATTAGCGTAAATGAACTGTCCATTTTTATTGTGTTGCTGATTCGTTTACTTAATCTTATCACCATGTGTTTTTGTTTCATTGCATTTTAGTTCTTATTCAATTGACATGCTTTTTACTCAATCAAAAGTTGTCCTTTTTCCTCTTCGGTATTATGCATCCTTTAGAATTTACTACTATGGAGATTCCTGTTTATGTAAGTGCATACGAGATGAAGTTTCTGAAGCATTATCAAATGTCCCAAATTCTGTTTCCTTTCTTTTTTCTTTATTCTGTCCCTTTTCTGTTACCTTGAATATTCTGTATCAAGTTCTGTTTCCTTTCTTTTTTCTTTATTCTGTTCCTTTTCTGTTACCTTGAACATTCTGTATCTTTATGTGGTTTTAGATTATATGGAATGACTCATCTTTCACTGAGTATTTTCTCCTCTCATATGTCAAAATGTTAGAAACTTATTTTACGTTGTTGTTCTATATGATTTCAGGTCCCCATTGTTGGTGGCCTCTTGTTTCTGTAAAACAGATACAGAGGCCAGAACTAAAGTCATTCTTGAACTGACACGTCAAGGAGCTATTGCTTTATATGATGACCATAAAATGACTACATCCTATAAGAGAAGGGAAGATTAGTTTAAATATGGTTGTGGACTGGAATATCTTGTCCTTGGGTCCTGTTTCAAACTACTATGAGTCAGGTGTATTTGTTCTCGGATGGCTTATAACTGGTTCTTTTGGACTTTTAGCTCTTTTATATGCATTTCTACGATGGCAAAGAGAGTTATCACTCAAATGGATGAAAGCTGCTGCTAGAGCCAAGAAGAAGGTGAGGAGAAAATTGAAAGTCCCTTTGTCAAACCACAAATGGATTCAGGAGTTGGGTTATCGTGGACAAGCACCCACATGTTGTGTTTGTTTAAAGGAGGTCCCTCACATTTCCTTTCACCTTTGCTCTTCTTGTGGGGTAGCAGCCCATGTCTCTTGCTCCAAGGATGTGGCAAAAGATTGTAAGTGTGTTGCCCAAGCTGGGTCCTCTCAGTTGTTGCATCATTGGTCAGAGGGATGGATGGAATTCGAAGACAATTCAGAGCTATCTACAAGCTGTTGTTACTGTGATGAACCATGTGGTGTCCCATTCCTTGGTGCTTCTCCAACATGGCATTGCTTATGGTGCCACCGAGCCATACATATCCAATGTCATGCAAGCCTGTCGAAGGAATCAGGAAATATATGTGATTTGGGTCCACTTAGTAGACTCATTCTTTCTCCACTATGTGTTAAGACAGTGAATGAGGAAAGGATTGGTGGTTGCGGGATATTGAGCTCCATCACTCAAGAGATTGCATCATCGGTGCAGGGCCAGATTAGGAGGAGGCACAAGAGTAGAACCCACAACAAGTGTTCCTCTTTTTGTAGGGTTCGTGACAATGCTTTGTTGGCAACTTCAGATGCAAGTGCAGTCTTTGCGTATGCATTGAATGGTCTTACAGGTACTCAAAAGTTGTGTAATGGAAAAACCAATGGACAAAATGGGAAGATACTTGAGAGTGCCGTCACTGATTACAAGCAAAATGAATGTAACATGGCTCATGGTGGGGTTCAAAAGTACATGCTGGTAGATTTGCCGCAGGATGCCCGACCATTGTTGGTTTTTATTAATGTCAAGAGTGGGGCTCAGTACGGGCCTTTTCTTCGGAGGCAGTTGAACATGCTATTGAATCCAGTACAGGTGAGACTTTTACCTTTTTGGTGACAAACTTGAAATCAAACAGTATTTATAATCCTTTTATTACTTCATACAAATGAATAAAATGATATTTTTGTCACTACAGCTTACATTCATGCCATGTAGCACAATAAGAATGTTATTGGTGGCATTTGGTAACCTTATCCTTTCATAAGACTTAATAGTTTTCTTTGCTTGATGAAGTATTTTTAAGCATTCTTTCGATCTGGCATAAAAAGATAATGGAAGTGATACGAGTGATCAATTTTGAAGAATGCAAATTTCATGTGTATTTACCTTGTGCATTTATGGTCTTTGGCATTCTTACGCACCCTATTGAGTTGTTATATCTGATTTAAATGGTTTTTGTTCTTTGTTTTCTGGGGGAATGGAAGGAAGAAAAGTTGCCACCCCGGGGGGGGAGGGGGTGGGGGTCTGTCTGTAAATCTCAATATCAATTTAATAATGCCATCTCTGATCTGTTTATCGATAGCTTTGGAATAATGTCCTGCTTTATGTTTCTTTTTCCTTTCCCTTGGTCACTTAAGGCTATTTCTCTGCCTGTAGTTTCCTAAGTTGTCAACCACTTCACATCCTTAATCATCACTTCTATCAGGATCTTCTATTGTATAACATGAAGGCCTTACTCCTTTATTTCTTTCAATAGTTGGGTACATTTCTAGTAAAAGTGGCCTTAGCCAGGCACTTTTGGTCTTTCTCTTATAATTCTGTAAGAAAATATCAAGGTTCCAAAAGAGAGTCAAACTTATAGCCTAGTGTTATGGAGCTCTTCGCCTCAGCTACAATGTTTCGTGTTCAAAAGTTAAAATCCATACTTACCTGATGAATCCGAAGACAGCAGTTCTAGGCTTCATTGGCACCTTCTGCCTTTTTTATAATAAAGATGAAAGGCTTGAACGCTATTTAGAATCTAATAAGTGTAGATGATTCTCTTCCCTTATTCTTGCAAAAGTTATCCATTTCTAGTCGCTCTTCCCATAATTTCACTTGTTGCGTCTGAAAACCCTGGTCCTACTGGGTTTCCAGAGCACCTATCCCCACTATCTTCTTTATTGTGTTCGTTACTTTATTCCTTTTATCATCCATGATTTTGACTAATTTATTTCCTGCCAAACTGCACTGCTATAGCTGCCTAGGTGGCTAGGTTTATTTACCTTTGAAACATTGAAACCCGAAGTCTGGCTCCTCCCCCCTAATTCACGGCACTTATTAGTGGTAAACACTCCTGTGGATGCCTCTCTAACTCACTCTACTTCCATGACCATATTCCTCTTATTCAATCTGATAAATGAAAACTTCCTCCTTTTACTTTATTTTTCTCGGACTCCTCTCATAACCCAACCCTCATTTCTCTCCCTGTACTGAATGACTCACTCATACCAAGGTCCTCTTTGATCCCGTCTTTTCCCTGACTGGTTCCCACTTCACTCTTGCTTTTCAAGTTCAAAACACAGACAAAAATCCCCGACGTTTGTTGGCTTATTTTCAGACATCTTGCTGTCTCCCTTAAATTTTATCATCATTTCGTTGGAAAACTTTTGCACATCAATCGTTTAATTTTTCGTTGTGTCTTTAACCCTGGCCATGTTTGGCTGGGAGTTGTTTTATTTATTCTCTTTTCATGGCATCATTTTGACATGCATTTTTAATCTTATTGAATTTATCATTTTTCAGGTTTTTGAGATTAATTCATTACAGGGCCCTGAGGTTGGTTTGGAATTGTTTCGGGCTGTAAAGTATTTCAGGGTTCTTGTTTGTGGTGGAGATGGAACTGTAGCATGGGTTCTTGATGCCATTGAGAAGCAGAATTTTGAATCTCCCCCACCTGTGGCTATACTTCCACTAGGGACTGGGAATGACTTGTCCAGAGTTTTATCATGGGGTGGAGGTTTTTCTGCAGTAGGGGGACAAGGTGGCTTAGGTATGCTTCTGCATCACGTTGACAATGCAGCAGTAACTATGGTTGATCGCTGGAAAATTACTACTAAAGAGACATGTTCAAAGCTTAATGAAAACAAGCAACAAGTGAAGTTTATGACTAACTATTTGGGTATGTTCAACCCCTTCTCCATGATGTTTTGAATGACTTTTACAATGGTATGCTCTCTCTTATCATTCTATTAACCTTTTGCAGGGATTGGTTGTGATGCAAAGGTTGCACTTGACATTCACTTGATTCGAGAGGAAAAGCCTGAAAAGTTTTATAACCAGGTATTGGCTTCATATTTCTTTGACTATTTTTAGATTTCTTTATCCTTTTTTGCAATGTTTGAATCAGAAGATAAAGAGTCATTCCTCAGTATCTGATATGTTTCACTCGTGAATTGAATATGAGAAGTTCTGGTCAGAAAATTTACATACACATAAAATCCCTTAGTTCACATGCAATTTTCCTTGTTTATAATTCTTCTAAATTTTACCCTTGAGAAATTCCAAGATTATATTAGTTGCCCTTAGTTATAATATGTGTAAGCTACAGCTGTTGTTCACAGGAATTCATCAGTGGTGGGTCATAGTTGGCTATTGGCATGTGAACTTGTAGCTCTCCCAAGTAGAAACCACAGGTATCCAAGATTGTATAGAACACATGCGACTAACATGACTTGTCAGATTCTCTGTGTTTAGGGGGAGTTTGTTGTTTGCAGACGCGAGTGTATCCCGTGTATATGTAATCTTCTTTATCTTTATTTGCGAGAGTATATGGTAGTGCCTTTTCTGTTTGCTTTTATAATGATGTCTGGGAAATCCGTGAATGAGCAACATGCAGTGTCTATCGCGCATCTGTTCCTTTATTTCGGTTGGAAACTACCTTATAGAGTATCTCTACCAAGGTTTGAAGGCCTTGAAGGTTTTCCTTCCTGCCACAAGTATGATTGGAGCCTTGGACTATAATTCAGTTAAATTTTAAACCTTGAAAGCTCATTGATTTCACAAGGAGTTTGTGGCCCAAGTTCTAGGGCAGGTTTTGTTGGACCCCATGACATTTCTTGGGTCTTTTTCTTTCTCTGTAGGGCTTCAGAACTTCAGTGCTGGTTCTGTAGTACCCCATTATGTGTACTCTTGTTCGAATTTCTCTTGTCTAGACTCTCTCTCACTCTATTTTCTGCTTCTTTTTTTTGGATAGGAACCAGCATTTAGAAAATCCCAGGGTCGAATGGAATCACCAGAGTCAAGCCGGACCAGTGGCTCCCCAGTTCTGGATGATCTCGAACTGGGGATTCATCCTGGTTTGACCTGAACAGGGCAGTTCACAATAGCGAACCGTCCTGTCCCAGTACAGATCTTGGGTGATTCCCAAGTCTCGAGCGAATATTGGGAAATCACCTTCTGTGAAGGAAAAACCGCTTACTCAGGGTTTTGTCTGCCCTATATTCTTTTTTATAGCCGTGTCTTTGTTCTGGTTGATATTTTGGCCCCAAATTTGATCCCCAGAGCCCCAATTTGATAGTCCTTCTCTTTCTTCTTCCGATCTCTATTCTTTCCTTCTCATCCTGGTTTTCTAGGAATTCCACCTAGTTTTATGCCTTGGATCCATGTCCTGTCTCTTATTGAGAGTATGGACCAATCCTTTATGGCCTCAATGCTGATGGCTCTGAAATTCTGAATACATCAGTTGTTTATGGAGTCCCTTTTAGATATCTATTTAGGGCTTAAAAGCTGGTGATAGCTTTGTTTGTGGTTTATTAATGGAGTCAAAACAACCTTATTGTGGGGGAACAATGTCTATTTTCTGATGTCTACACCTCAATTCCATGGCTCTAATGGTATTTGACCTTTTTTCTTTCCCCGAGTTTAGGGCCTACTCGGGACTCTCTTGGGTGACTCATCTGGGGCCATACCTGAGTCAGTATCCTATTCCAGTTTTCAGACACTGTTATGAACCACTTCTTCTGATCTTTGTCTGAGAAGGAAGTCCAAGTAGGCCCCATTTCCAGCACTCTGCACATTTATGCCCCAAAACTCGAGTCTAAACAACTTCATTTAGTCTAAACCACTTCTCCCTCATTTTTTTTGGCATATTTATAGCTTTTAACTTTGCAAAGATAAAAAATTAACAAATATCAAACCCTGGTTCATCAGATTGAAAAGACTACTCTTTGGATTAAAAGTAAAAACTCTTGTGCAGCAGAGAAAACACCTAGCAGACAAGATTCCTTGCAGTTAAAGTAAATTCAAGGAAAGAGAGTGGGAGCCCCAGCAATGAAATCTAGATTTCATTCGGTCTTTCTTGAAGGAATCAATAGTGGTACCCAAGGCAACTCTTAGCAAGATTGAGGGAATGTATACGGGTCAGCAGCTTGATAGACTTTTACAAACTAACGAACATAAATTGCTTTTATTTTTGCTTTTTAGTTAGATATTGTGTGTGGATCCCAAATAATTGAGATAAGGCCTTAGATGGTGATGATGACAACGAGTTATATATTGTTTTTTATTATGCAAGTGTGGTCTACGTTTTTAACTATAGTTAGAATTGGAGGTAGAAGGTGGTACAAAAGTGTCCCAATAGCTTTTGCTGCGATGGTTCTGTTTTTCTTTTGACCCTGTCACTGTTTCCCCACGAAGATTCTGCATCATCTCTGTCACTTCTCTTATTTTTGTTCTTTCTTTTAAACTGCGTTTTGCAGTTTGTAAATAAACTTCGATATGCTAAAGAAGGTGCCAAAGATATTGTGGATAGAACTTGTGCATATTTACCCTGGCAAATTCAGCTTGAAGTCGATGGTGTTGGAATTGACATTCCAGAGGTGATTCCTTGTTTAAGCAAAATCTTATTCTTTATAACAATAATTATAATTACATACATATATTTATGATCTTTTAACTTTTTATTAGAATTTTTACAGTTTCTCAACTTCTAAAACGATAGAAATTACAAATTATTGAGATGAAACCGGTGAGAAACTATTACATGTCCAATTATGCAATTTCTTTTTCTGTTGTTATGAACTTGCAGGATGCAGAAGGTGTTCTTGTGCTTAATATTGGGAGCTACATGGGTGGAGTGGACCTTTGGCAAAATGATTATGAGCATGGCGATGACTTTGATATGCAATCCATGCATGATAAGATGCTCGAAGTTGTTTGTATTTCCGGCACATGGCATCTTGGAAAACTTCAGGTATTGCTTATATATATGTTAGGGTGCTCTCACTATAGAGTAATTTATCATTGTACTCAACAAATTTTGGACACTTCTATATATTTGTTTTGTACATGGAGCATTTTTTTAATAGGGGTATTTTTTGTCATTAGGAGGGGTATGATGTCAATGTACGCTCCATGTGGGTGATGTCACACGCTATGTAGATGACATTACACAATTCCTAATAACCAAAAATATCCTTACTAACATAACTATATATATATATATATATATATCATTAACTTCTTTGGTGTCTTTACTATACTAAGAAGTTGTATACAATGAGGCAGCTACCTTCACCATTAAAAAAGGCACAAACACCCATAGCCATTAGATATAAAATCAGAAAGCTAAGATGTGTCATTTCCTAGCACAAACTTTGAACAAAATTTCCAAGAACTTCCATCGTAATGTATGGTGCATCCCAGGCGCTGATTTTAAAACTGACAGTTGGAAGTGATCGCGACCTTTTTGTACCAAAGGAAAATGGTCTTATTGTGTACTTTCCTATTAATTTATAAGAGCTGATTCTGGAAAATTTTAAATTTCTAGATACTCATGTTTGGAAAAATATGGAGAAACCCATCTTTTCTTTTCCCTTTTCTCTTGTTCTTTCAATTATTGTTCCAAAATAGTGTTATTTCATATTCTTATTTGCCCTTGAAAAAACGCGAGTGTTGAAAATTACTGTACATAGTGTTTGAACTAATTCGCCTTTTATGCTGAATAATTGTGGTTTTAAGGAAACTGAGAATATGGTGCATTATGGCTTTGAGCTTTGGACAGGTAGGACTTTCCCAAGCTAGAAGGTTGGCGCAAGGGACAGTTATAAGAATACATACATCTGCCCCTTTCCCTGTTCAGATTGATGGGGAGCCATGGATCCAGCAACCTGGCTTTCTAGAGATATGTCATCATGGACAGGTTCACTTCTCTCTCTATCTATAGCATGCGAACAAGAGAGAGAGAGAGAGAGAGAGAGAGAGAGAGAGAGAGAGAG